ATGAAGTAGCTGGTTGAAGAAACTGAGGCACATTCTAAGAGGGCTCCACCAGCAGGGTAACACAGAGAAGGGGAAGGGACGGGAGCCGTGCTGTGCGTGGTTCCCAGGCTTCGTCTCCATTCAGTTTCCACAGCAGCCACGTGGAAGTCAGGATGGCCTCCTCTCTCTCACACAGTCTCAGCAAGGAAGTGGGCCATGTGTAGCTTCAGAGAACTTTCTTGGCACGTGCAAGACTCTGGGTTTGGTTCCCCACAAAAAGTAAATTTAAAAAGAAGAGAGCAGAGCTGGTGAGGTCAGTAAACTATGCACAGCCACCCCCTGGGCAGACAGCGGGACCAGAACCAGCAGCCGCATCCATCCCAAGGCCCCACTCTTGCTCCTGGGCCCTGCAGCCTCCAGAGATCCTCGCCATGGCTCTGTGTTTGAGCTCTGGAAAGGCCAGCTGGACCAGGTCCCTTCGGTTCGGGCATCTGTCCAGGGCAGTTCTTCCCCAGGCTCAGCATGTCCAAGTGTCCCTGATTCACAGATGGTCTCAATTGTTTATCAGTCGGAGGCCCAGGCAGCAGGGTGTCCCTCGGCCCTGCTGGGCTGCCCCAGTGTGGTGCTGCCAGCTGGGCACAAAGGCCCTTTGTGTCAGAAAGTCTCTCCGGCCAAGTTTTCATAGACAAGTCTGAGAGCTAACCGAATTAACATTCACACACAGACACACAGACACACAGACACACACACACACACACACACACACACACACCCCTGGTGACTTCTGCATCATTCAGACCCTCATTGGAATTCCAATTTCTCTCCTTCGGGTTTTATGTCTTCACAATGGTGGTGGCCGTGGCCATCCGTTTTCCCGTCATATCTGTCTGGGTTGTCAGTACGGTGATTCTCCCATTTCCTCTGTCCGAGTTCCTGCCTGTGGTAATGTGCCAGTCCCTGGGAAAGTTCTGGGCTTCCACAGGCCCATGCTGTGCCAGAGGTCACTGGTATTATTGTCTGCTGGCCGGGTGACACTAGGCAGCTCTCAGCAGCAACCACCGGATGCTTCAAGAAGGAACGAGACCCCAACTCGACAAGAATCTCTGCCACTGTGCACTGTGGAACTTTGGGAAAATGGCCTTGTATCTCTGGGGCTCAGTTTCCCCGTCTTCGTAAAGAAAGGTGCCTTCTAAGGGCATCACACCCTCTCAGTGCTGTGGCCTGGAATGTTGTAAATGAACAGCACAAAGCAAGGACCTGGATCTCTGTCTGCCTCAGGGAGGCGTTTGGATTAGGTGACCTCTCTGCGCCCTTTTGCTGCTGACATTAAAAGCATATAAGATTTGCTTTCAGAATGGTTGCCAAGCTAGAAGGCCTTCAAAGTACTTGGCTCGTGGGGGTGGAGGCAGTGGAGGAGAGCTGAAGCAGTACAAGAAAAATGAGTTTTGAAGTCCTATGGTCCTAGGCTCAAATTCTACATCTGTCACTCTAATAGCCCTGTGCCCTCAGACTGCCTGTTCTGCTTCTTCGGGCTTTGGGAAAATGAACAGCTACTTTGCAGAGTGACGTGAGACTCGGGCTGTATGTTAGGCCTATGGAAATCCATGCTTCTTTACTGTGGCTTAAAGTACAGAGTACAGATGAGCTAGAGAGGGCTGGGGGCAAAGCAGGAAATTTGGGTCTAAGAGGAAAGGGAATGACAGAACAGTTACTCTGTTTATTATTTTTCTTCCCTTTGGTGAGGTTTTTTTGTTTTTGTTTTGTTTTGTTTTTCATTCTTTCTTTCATATAACCTAGGCTGGCCTTGAACTTGCTAAATAGTTGAGACTAGCTTTGAACTCCTGATCTTCCTTTCTCTGCCTGCTTGGTGAAGGGATTACTTTTTTTTTTTTAGGTTATTTTGCTGTTTTATAATTAAAAATATGTCTGTTATCAAAAAAAGTTAAGGCTAAAACTGTCCATCTGTAATGGTGAAGGTATTTACCGTTTGCATTCATTTTGGCATAATTTCCTTCTGTTAGCTTTCCTCTGCATAGATTCACATTCCAGCATGACAAAACATTCCTTACATGTAATCTTGCATATTTTTGTATAACATTAGATATATTTAAACATTTAGGCAAAACATTTTCCATAACATTAGAACTTTATATTCTTTACTCATTCGTTTGGGTCTTTGAGGCAGAGGCTCATGTACGCTCAAATGGCTATGTTTCCAAGGATCACTAGAAGACACATGCCCTATCTGTCCTTTTCCTAAGAGCTGGGATCGCAGGCAGGTACCAGCACACCCCGCTTTCTCCGTGGACTTAGCCGAGCTCTTGTGCACCAAGCGCTCAGATACTGCAGGGACAGGCCCCGCCCCTTGCTCGCGCCTCTCCATAACCTTTGGTAAAGCGCTCGCCTCGTGTCCACTGAACCTGTACTTTTCATTCCACGTGATCTACCTGGGTTCTGCTTCTTCTAGGCAGACTTTGCCAAAGCGTAACCAACTCCTTTGTGTTTGCGCACTACCGCTTCACCTACCCTCGGCCCACTGCACGGGCTTCCAGACCCATGGCCCCGTTAAGCTGGCCCCTTCCAGACCCACGGCCTCGCTGAGCCAGCCCTTGGGGTTCCTAGCTGTAAAACTGAAGGCACCACCCAGATCATGCCTTTCTCTCCCACCTGCTTTTAGTACCGCTGCGCCGGAGCTCAAACCAGGGCCTTGTGCATGCTAGGCAAGTGCTCTAGCGGTGAGTTACATCCTCCCACCTCCCACAGAGAGACCCTGCCTCAAACAAAACCAAGGCAGGTGCAGTGGCACAGGCCATTAATCCCAGCACTCAGGAGGCAGAGGCAGGGGGATCTCCGTGAGTTCCAGGCCAGCCTGGTCTGCAGAATGAGTTCCAGAGAAACCCTGTGTTAAAAACAAAAGACAAACCAAACTAAACCAAACCAACCAAACAAGAGCCCAAAGAAGATTTCGGGGAAGCAGAAGTAGCAGAGGAGCCACTCAACTTGCTGTAGTGTACACTGGAGGTTGAGCTGGATGGGCTGGGAGCGAGGGGCAGGGATGTGGCGGTTGCGCAAAGCATGTTCTGAGTAGATTAGTATTCCCAGTGGGGGTGATGCTTTTTGACACAGGATCTCAAGTAGTCCAGTCTGGCCTCAGACTCGCTCTATAGCTAAGATTGGCCCTGGAGTTTAGATCCTCCTGCCTCCTCCTCCCAAGTGTGGCTGGAATTACAGGTAGAGTCATTATACTATCCTAAATATAATTTGAAGATAGAGTCAGTTAGAGTTGCTCATCAACTAGAGGGAGAAGGAAAAAAATGAAGGAATTAAAGATAATTCTCAAACTTAAAACAAAACAAAACAACAACAAATCCAAACAACCCAGTGAGTGGATGGTCTATTTCAGACGGAGAAGTCCGGAGGTCTGGAGGACACCTCAGCTGTGTTTTCACCATATTAGCTACGAATGAACTGAGCATCTGGCTTATAGATCAGCCTCTCTGAATCAGGATAGAACAAGCCAGTGCCCGAATCTCCCCAGTTCTGACCACTTTAATGGTATTGGGTCCCTCTAAGCTGAGGAAAGGCTTCAGAAGGTGGAGACCCCACCTGCCAGCTTCCCCCACAGCAGAACCTGCATGTCCCTCTGACTGCCTCCTGGTGGGTAATTACAGAAGATAAGCGTTTGGTCCTTTTATGGGAGGACTGCGCCGACATATTCTTCTTAGGGTGTTCTTTTTTGGCACATGCCAAAAGCCCACTTCTTGCTTGTCTATACTCTTATGCTGGGCTCCTCCCTAGGCAGCCACAGACTTTGAAGGGCAGAAGAGAATCAGAGAGGAACACGGTCACAGAGTGTGGGCTGGTTGACCCAGGAGGGACCCACAGCCAGTTCAGGCAGGGCTTCCCGGAGAAGGGGCTGCCTCGAGGCTCACTCACAATGTTGGCCTTTTCCTGACTCCAAGGAACATTTCAGAAACATTTGTCAATAAAAGTCGTGGGCGCCCCCCTCCTTCCACATTGGACAAGTGGAGCTCAGTCCCTGGGGAAGTGCCCGCAGGCCTGTGCTTGTTGACTGCCTCTGCTAGGAGGGATAAGGGTTTGGGTCTCAGCCAGGCCAAGCAGTGGATGGTCCAGAAGCTGTGGCCGTGCTGGGCTCACTGAAAGGTCATCCAGGAAAGGGGTCACCAACCCACCAAGCGTCCTAGGCGAAAAGGTTTCCCCACAGCAAGTCAGGGGGTCGAGAGTGCTCTTGCCAGCCACTAAACACGTTTCTTCCCCCCCCCCCATCTTCTGATCTCCACCACCCTGGTGCCATCTTCGTTCTTTCACCAAAATTCCAACAGCCTCTAAGCCTCCTATCTCTAGACTCAAACTTGCACAGTCTTACAATCTAGGCTGCCTTTTCATTTTTGGAATTTTGAGAGAATGTTTTACTTGTAGTTCACGCTGCTTCCATAGAGGACCAGGCTCCAAAGCCTCCTGAGCTAGCCCTCCTCTCCTACCCCGGGGCTTCCCTAACCTCTCCATACACTTGCCAACTCCCCTAAGATACCCCAGACTCATCCTGAGAAACTGTCACTCATGCTTCAGAACACTGTTTGAATTTTGCCTTCTTCTTGAGGTAGGTAGCCCTGCCTAATCCCCAGGTGTTGCTGAGACAGGCCAGGGAGAAGGCTGGATGAGGTGAACGCCCAGACCCTCCAAGCCCTGCGTTTTCTGGAATAGGGCAGCTTGGGGTCCTCACCAGCGGAGACACTCTTCCTCTGGGTTCACTTGCTTCAGCCTCCAGATCAAAGGGTGACTACACGAGCAACGAGCACACCTCCAAAATAATTTTCAAGATCTAGTCTGACCTCTTTTACTTGAGAAGAGATCTGATCGCGGGCAGACGCGGGGCCACAGCTGGGGATTGGAACCGTTCTGACTGGGCTCCAGGGTGGGGAAGTTAGCCTGCCCTCTCCAGCAGCTGGTGGCTGAGAAGGAGCAGGGGCGCTGAGAAGGAGTGGTCCCCTCTCCCTTACCCCCATCTTCGAACTCCTCCCGGAAGTAGACGAGGCGGCGCTTCCCCTGGGTGCTCGAGGTGCAGGCGGTCAGCAGCAGCAGCAGAGGCGGCAGCCACGGGATCCACGGCATCTTCAGGGTCCTGCAGGGAGGTCTCGGAGAGGTGCGTCCCCAGCCAGGTGCCCTGTGCTGTCTCTCACCTTGACCCTGGGGCTCAGGTTGACATCACCTGCTCCAGCACCTGGCCGCCTCCCATTCGTGGCCTGGATCGGAGCAAGGGAGGCCGCAGCCAATGGTTGGGGACCACGAGCTGAGAGTGTTGGAGCGGCTCTGACTTCATGTCAAGGGAGCTACAGGGCAGGGTTCCCCAGAGTGTGGGGGAGTGGCAGGGCCAGCTGAGGCTGGCCTCTGGGGAGCCCCGGGAGCCTGCTCAACTGTGGAGTAGTTGGATTCAAAGCATTCTCGCCATGATTCCTTCCCTTATCCTTCCTCCCCTTTGTCCATCATCTGTCCACTCACCCACTCACTCCTCCACTGTGCCAATAAAGACACTATGGAAGTAGTGTGATGCCTGTTTATTTTAACAAAAACACGCGAGGCCCAAGGTGCTAATCCAGGACAGGTCTCAAGGATAGCATCATGCAGGAGGTGACTGGCTGACCCAGGGAAGAAGAAAGGGGCAAGGTTGGGGGTGGGGGAGGACTCGAAAATGGATCTTGTTTCTCATGGCCATAGCTATGGAGCCGCTGCTGTTTCCCTCACTGTGAAAAGAATGAGGCCCGAGGAAGGGAAAGGCACGGTTTGTTGACCACGGTAGAGTGTGCCGATCACCAACACGCGAGGCACCACTCAATCCTCACACAGACGGGGGCATCACCGGCGTGAGGCTGGCATCACCGGTGTGAGGCTCAGGCCGAGGCCCCTGGAGACAAGCAGCTTGCCAGCACCTGAGGGAGGTAGACAGAACCGGATCCAGAACTCAGGCCTTCTGGGTCCAGGACCTGTGATGCACTTCTCTTCACTATCTGTTTAGTGTATTTGCTGAAGTTTTCCTCACTTCAGCATCCGAGATGGGACCAGTGTGGCTTGAGCACAGCGAGCGGTGAGCGTAGAGCTGGGGCCGATGGGGGGCCTTGCGCACAGACCTGCCAGCAGCCGGAGATGAGGAGTTAACTGCTGGCGTGGAGAGCCGTGGAGAGAGTGATGTCATTGGAGACAGTCTCAGACCACACTGCTGTTGTCCTTAATTTCATTTTCTTTGTGCGTGTGAGTGTTTTGCCTGCATGTATGTCAGTGTGCCATGTGTGTGCCTGGTGCCCCACGAGGGTGTTTGGTCCCCTGGAACCGGAGTGACAAACAGACAGACAGCTGCTAGCTGCCACTTGGGTGAGGGAGTGCTAAGACCTCGGGAAGAATAGCAAGTGGTTTTAGCTGCTGAACCATCTCTGCGCCCCTCCCCTCCCCAGGTGGTTCACTGAATTTACCATGTAGCTAGAGATGGCTTTGAACTCCTCATCCTCTTGCCTCGACCTCCCAGTCACTGGGGTTATAAGCGTGAGCCACTATGTCTAGTTAAGAGTTATATTTAAGAATACCTCTGGGATCATGGCTTGGTGGTATAGTCCTATAACTTCAGGGGTAGAGGCTGGTGGAGCTCTGTGAGTCCCCGGCCAGCCTCGGCTGCGCAGAGAGAAATTCCCTGGGGCTGGAGAGATGGCTCAAAGGTAATAGCACTTGCAGCCCAAGCCCGAGGACCTGAGTTCGAGTCCCAGAACCCATGGGAATGCTGGGCTGTGCACTGACATCCACACATGTGCACTCTCTCACGAACGAAATGTACACACGTGCACAGAAACAAAAGCAAATGAAAAATGTCACAGGTCAGGCATGAAGGAACACACCTGCCATTCCGTCACTTAGGAGCCTGCAGCAGGAGAACAGGGCCTTCCAGACCTCCCTTGGTAGGTAATGAGCCCTTCCCTTCCCTGCGAAGAGAACACTGATTACTGTATGCTAAACTGGGAGTGGCAAATAAGTGATTAGAAGCTGTCAAGTGTGGTGGCACAGGCCTGTAAGTCCAGAGCTCAGGAGGCAGAAGCAGGACAGGTGCTGTGTGTTCAAGGCCAGCCCAGGCTACATAGCAAAACTGGATCCTATGTCAAAAATAAAACAGTGGTAACAGAGCCTGGAGCTGTGGCTCAGTGCGCAGGGTGCCTGTCTAGCATGAACTGCCCTGGGTCAGATGCCTGGCACCATATAAACTAGATATGGAGGGATAGGCCTGTAACCCAGAACTGGAGAAGAGGAGGCCAGAGGAGAAAAAGTTTAAGATTAGCCTTGACTACATGAATTCTAGAATAGCACGGGCTCCGTGAGACCCTCTTGTTGTTGAATATTAATATTTACTATTGATTTATCTTTTAGTTAAACAGTGGCTATTCCTAAACCAGCTGTATACCCAAATCACCATGCAGAGATTGGGATGTATTTAGTTAACCTAGAGCACAAAGCTGGGCAATAGTTACTCCATCCTAAATCTCCAAGCCCGCATAGTTTCCTCCCAATCAGATTTCACCCATTATACTTGCTTTTAGTCATATCTTAGGTCCAGTTCATCACTCCTCATGGTTCCAAGTCCTCTCCTGCCCATCTCTGCTCTCTGACCCCTCTCACTCGATTCCTTCTCCTCCCCTCCAGACCAGGATGTCCCACCCTATTCTCTCCATTGCACAGCACTGGCTGGTTGTTTTATTGACAATACAGAGAACAAATGGTGGCATGTTTACACAAACTTGAGACAGGTGATGCTTAGAATAAACATCGCAATGCAAAGTCTAGATTGAAACCAGATAGTGGGGGTAGAGATATCAGCATTTGAATGAACAGGAATAAATTGTATACATTCCACAAGAACATTGTACCAACACACTCTCTCAAAAAAAAAAAAAAATTAAAATTTATAAACTGGAACTCAGAAAGGGTCTTGGCTGCAAATACATGTTTGAGGGATATAGCTGGTACTGTAGGCCAAAGAGCTGGAGAGGGAGGAGAGACTGGCCGAGAACTGTGCCAAGTTCCCAGCGCTGCATGAAGTCCAGACCCGAGGATGTCAGAGCCCAAGTGTTTAATCACCCTTCCAAAGTCTGTCATGGTCTGGTAGAGCCGGGACATGAAGTTCCCAGGCAGACAAGGACTCGAGAGTAAGGCAGAGGGGAAAAAGCAGGACCGCACAGGCCTAAGATGGCAGCTGGGTGATTCCGGATTTGGTTCCTCGGTCCAGAGTTCCTCAGTCTGCATCAGCTGTGTTTATGCAACACAGTTTCCTTTGTTGCAAGGTCTGTCCTCAGCACTGCGGGGTGTCTACCTGCTTTCTTAACAGATGACAAGTACCACCCTTCCCAACAGTTGTAGCTACTAAAAATGTCTCCCCACATTGCCAGACTCCCTTAGTGTGTGTGTGTGTGTGTGTGTGTGTGTGTGTGTGTGTGTGTGTGTG